ATTTACAAAGCCGCATAAAATATAATGGCTCGATGTCAGATGTTGAAAAATGCCCGTAAATAAGCTAAGGAACTGGAAATTGACAGCTGCTCCTGGTGGTATAATCAACCATTGGTGGAGAGCAAATAAATTCAAAAGTGCTTGTTTTGTGGTCACACTGCGGGTGTTTCAGAACATTCTAATGCCATTGTGGCTATGTGACAAAGAGGGAGTCGAAGTGCTCGTAACGCTTTGAATTGGAAGACAAAGGAGCAACATGAAAATGCGTTAGCTGTATGGGTGACATAATCTTTGACTTTGCTTGATTTAACAAGTTATGCGATTTAATAGTACAACAACAACATTTTTATTTGTTGTTGCATTTGTCTTAAGCAGATACAAGATGTTTTATTTTCTGGTCGAGATCAATAATACACTTAATATGCTGGCCGTTATAGATGAAAATTCATTGTCAGATAATAACTATAACAAAAAACTTGATTATCAAGATTTCTCTTACAATACGTTGAATTAATTGTAATCTATCTATGATAAGAGTGGCAATTTCAGCAACATGTACAAGACTAATTTTTCTTACATTAAACTATCTAAACTCTCTAGATACGGAAGCTTTAAATTGCAATAGAGGAAGAAAAATATTAACTTCGGTTGCACCGAAGCCAGAATACCCTTCACAAAGAAAATAGTTTCAGTTTTACAAAAACTTAATTCACAGCGACATCTATTGACAAAATACGAAGAGACTTTTTCGACTATTCTATAATATAGTTATAGCGATTCCCTTGAGAAAAATTCATGTCTAATTTAGTGCATACAATATTGATCGTTCGGTTTATGTGGCAGCTGTACAACATAGTAGTCCATTCTGAACATTTTATTATCTTATCGCAGCGTTGCTTTGAAAAATAGTCCGTGTCAAATTTTATGAAGATATCTTAACAAATTCTCCGTGCAAGAACCCAATTTTTATCGTTCAGTTTGTATGGCAGCTGTATGTTTTAGTGGTCCGATAAGGGCGGTTCCGACAAATTAACAGCTACTTGTAGAGGAAAGGATCTGTGCAAAATCGATATTTCAAAAGTGAGGTGATTAGTTCTCCTATATACACATATCACCCTCGTAAAGGTGATCATTTATGACTATATACCATATATATATTAGACGTTTTCAATTGGAAGTTACCCTTTTATTTTATCACAGGCGCACATCGCTTTTGAGGCGATTTTTGCTTATGTGCACAGTTCATCAAAGACATTAAATTAAAAATCGTCAAACCTCAGTCTGTTGAAAGTTAGATCGTCGAAGTACCGATATGTGTCTGCCCACATTTTTTGCCTCACCACACCTTTGTCCATTTCAGTGTCGACTGAAATCCCTTACGGCTGTGACAAAATGAACATTGCTGGAGACAAAAGTTGTTCAAATATGCTTTTGTGTTGGTTTTAAGCCAAAAGTAGCACATGGTTGTTGACCAGCATTAATCGAGCTTGCATGAACTTGGCGAGAGTACAATGGACCACTTGTGTTCTACTATGGGCTAGTTCTAAAACACAAGAAGATAGCATAACTCCCCTTTTTCCCAGTCTGATATTTAAGAACCGAAAGTGCCATTTTTTGATCATTGGCCTTGCACTACTAATATAGTATAAAAGCTTACTGAAGGACACTTCGGCTCATACTACTGCAATTTCACGTTCGATATTATATCATATATATTATCGAAGCTTATCAATCGTCATAGCTGACTTGTTGACAAGGACCATAGACTTGACGTAGCCCCACAGAAAATAGTCTAACGGTGAAGCACACAATTGACTGGGCCATTTCATGAGATAATACTCACCAAACTTGGTTTTCTAAAAATTAATTCTGACATTTGCTATGTGGCTTGTTCGACGTCATATCCTCCAATTCGGGGCAAAAACATTCGGTTATCATTGAGCGATAGCGATTCCCATTCACTGTAATGAACCGGCTTTGATCATCGCGAGAAGTACCGTCCAATGACATCGCCGGCCCATAAACCGCACCAAACAGTAATTTTTTCGGAATGCAACTCATCGAGTACGTTTGGATTGCTGCCTGACCAATGACTCAAATTTTGCTTATTGATGGAACCATTTAGCCAGAAATGAGCCTCATCATTGAAGATGATTTTTTGATGAAATCCGAATCATTTTCAAGTTGTTGCTCAGCCCAACTCGCAAATATACGACGATTCTGGTAGTCAAGCGGCTTCAATTCTTATGTCAATTTGATCTTTTAAGGCTGTAGGACGAAATCTTTGCTAGCGGCAGCAATATTCTCGACATTTCGTGCACTTCTTTGTCTCACTGGCTTGGAAACATTTTGTACTGTATCTGCGAATGCAAAATTTTTCACTAGACACTCAATTTCTGATCTGGCAGGGCGGTTATGACGACCATGAACTGGACGTTGCGTTAAAGCCACTGACTCCGAATTTCGATAGTGAGTTTTAAAAATGTCCACTCGTTGTTGGATCGTATATCTTTCCATGATTAAATGGCAAACCTTACTGAAGAGAAATGTCAAAAGAGTGGAAAACAATGTGGCGTCGTTTGCTGTCCCTATTGTCTTCCTTTGTAGTATTTTTATTGGAAAACCCGTTTGAAACAAGGCGAGCTCCCAACAGAAGACTGTATCCTCCCCCTTGAGATTTGTACCACCTGCGAAAAGCTTACTGCGGCTCTTCTTCAGCTGCTTCGCTATGACTTATTGAGTTCGCCATCATTTGAATTGTTTAATTTAAATTTTAAATTTTAAAATTTGCCTTAACAATAATAGTTATTTGTATGTATATGAGAAAATTGTTTTTCAAAAATATCAAGGGAAACACAAAAACGCAACAACTCAGCGTGTTTACTATCAATATCATAAATATCAAGCGCAATAAAAGAAATATTTGTTATTATTAAGATGAATGTGACATCTCGTGTCGCAATAAAGTCCATTACACCATTTTCAAACATACAAATACCTCTATGTGTGTACTTTACTATTTACGTACGAATATTTTTATTGCATAAAATATTTCACACATACTTTAATTTCATACGATTTCATGTTTGCACGCTGCAATAGCAGTTGTCTGACAACACTTGCCAAATGGTGGACACATGAAACAATAAATTGCAATTCCAAGTCACTTCAACAACCAAGGTTACTTTTACGTATTTGTCTGCGCATAGTATGTACAAGTACCTTTACGGTATATGTAAAACAAAAATATCAAATGGTCAGTGAAGAGAGGCATGGAAATAATAGCATAAACTATATATGAGTATTGTAAACATATACTATATACAAGAAACTAGTAAGGCGATATTACATTCGGGCGAAACCGTGCATTAAAATTACAATGCAATAAGACGGACGCGTGTTAGATTCAAATCTCGTTTAAAGATATCGAATTATAAAGATATTTAGCTGACCATACATGAAAGTAGGATGATCGGATTGGTAGATTCTAACTCCTAGCGCGCCATAGGTTCACATTGTTTTTATGAATAAACAGTGAAAGTGTAAAAACATTAGTACAAAACAATCTTCATGCAAGAAATTGTAAAAAAATATTGAATTTATAGATATGAAATTTTGCAGTTGTTGTTGCTGTCGGTTTTGCATTTCTCTCACTGGCACTGTCACTAGCACTCCCAATGTTGCTGCCACAATCATTGTTGCTGATGCAGGAACTGTCACTCTGTCAGTGCTGTCCACATGTCATGTGGCCCGTTCGGTTGGTTGGTTAATGCTACGGAAGGGAAGTGTGAAAAATCACACTTACGTATGTAATGTGAAAATTAAATATATGCCATATACTTATGTTTCAATACATCAAACTACTTGCTGCATCAATTGAAGCAAAAATGCAAGGAATATTTAGAATAGACATAGCGACATTTGCTATTCAAAACTTTGTGTAATATCTCAAGATGTCTATATCAATGGATTTTAAGACGATCAAACATTTGAAGTTAGTTTTTAAAAGGAGGATGAAAAAAAGAGAGTGCTCATGTCACCATAATACTTTTGTTCGTTTTTTTTTTTTTCATATACATAAATGTATTGCTGGTTCTGAAAATCTAATATAATGCCAAATATTTCTCCCAAGTGCCAGTCGAAACGGAGTATCCAACATAGGAGGTACATATATCTGCTTTAGCCAAACCCTCATGTAATGTTTTTATAGCGAGCGTGTTTCAGACGTGCGGCTTTCAATGCCTTTTTCGGAGTTTTTATTTTTTTTTAGACATCTTCCACTTGATTTATGTGATACTCGGTTTGGTTTGCCGTTTCATACAATATTTGATAAATGGGTACACAACCGAAACCGGTTTTCACAAGAAAATTTTGTTCAGCAATTAATTCACAAGCAGTTGTTGAGATGGCATTGCATCTTCAAAAAAATCACTGCTTGTCCTATTTCTAAACATTTTTTGCAACAGGACACAATAAAACCGCAAAAAGACGTTCACTAAGTTTAATTGTTTAATCTTTGAAAGTAACAGTAAAAAATTCAGGCATATACACTCACGTCCACACATTGGATAGTCGAAAAAGTATTTTCGTATTTCTACACAAACTTCAACTTATTTTTTATAATAATAAATAAATAAACAAATACGTACAATATTTTCACTAATTTTTGAATAGCTGTGACTTATTTGCAACTTCCCCGAATTTAATTTGTTTTTGGTTAAACAAAGCCTAAAATCTCACTTTCCAATACTATATGGTAAGATACAATGTGATTGGTAGCACTGGAGATATACGACTGCAACGACATCTATCGTCAAAATACGAAAAGACTTTTTCGACTACCCAATAATTGCAACCCTATGGTGGGTGTCATGTTAAATATACCCATATATCGCTGATATATCTTTATCTGCGAGTGGGTGTTCCCGTTTTGCATTTCAATCAATCTTGCAAGAACAAAATAATTTCTTATATTAAATTGATTTCACATTAAAACGCTATTTTCATCACAATTAATCTGTAATTATCATTTGTTTCCAGAAGTTATTCCACATTTTGTAGCCTAAAGTTATATCTAAAATAAATTATTTTCATAAATTGAGTGGAATTTTTAATTTAGAATGTATGTATGTTTGGTGTATTTATGGTGAAATGTTGTTGTACACACTGCGCTGAGATTAATTCAATTATACGTTCACAGACCTCACAAACATTGTTACTGCGCCCAGCCGTTCCATTCTCAGTAGAGTGCTAAATATAGACAAATATAATAAAGAAATAAATCCACGAATATTTTATATTAATATTTATTATAAAAAACAAAAACTTACAGTGAAAATGGCTCTTCTAGGAACGCTTGAAGTGGGTCATTAATGTCACCAACGTATCCACCAAGTGATTTTAACCTGTAGTCGTTATCTGCACCAGCCACGCTGAATCTTTTATACTGCATATAATGTATGTGAGTTTTTTCCCAATAATCGACATTGCGTATCATAATCAATAATTCATGCTCTCCACCTTCTGTCGTTATTTCATGCAAACGCTTTAAGCCGACGAAGTACTCCGTCACTATCTGACCGTTCGTGAGACCACCAAAGCCATTAATAAATTCATTTGTACTCTTTTCATTGAAATTTCCATGATGTGCATCTAAAGCGGCAAAGAGTATCCAGCCATCTCCATATTTAGTACTCTCACATTGCACTATGTTTGGTATAAGTTTAGCATTGTTGATTTGCATACTAATTATGGGTGGAATTTTACAGGCAAATTGCGTATGGGTTAATATATCAATTGTGCCAATAGTCTCCCGTTTACTGCGTACGTTCCTTAAGTTTGGGCTCATACCAATATAATTTCTTAAATTCGCCATGTCACCTTCTAGCTGTTTGAACAAGTTATCATTTGCCTTTTGCAGATCGAGCAATTGACCGCTACAAAAAAATTTATTGCATTTATAAATATGACATTGTACTTATTATTGTCACTTATTTCCTCTTTCGAAACTATTCAGATCTGCATATACATACTTACACTTTTTTATTGAAACTCTGCGCCTCATTTGTACAGCTTGGCCCCACGCTCTGCAAAGGTGTTGAATTTATCTGCATATTATTCAAATTACTATCGTATGTTGACATAAAACAAAGCATTGATGTAAAGAAAACTTCCGCAGACATGATCAATATGAGCGTTCGTTGGTCCTTACTGTGCAAATACCGTCACCCAACTAAATAATTACTCTGCATAGATTTCCACAAATATTGGAATATGAAATGTGCTCAAGCACGCTATATAATTGTTCGTACGTTTGCATATTAGGATGGGCCTTAAGGCATCTCGTGGTTCTGCTAATATTATTGTTGGTTTGAGAATCCCAAAGACATTTAAATCAAAATGCAATTCGAGATATTCTGAGATTCGAGAGACTGTTTATAAGTCTTTCACAAATATTATCTCTCCTTAAGTTTTACTGATTGTTTACAAAGATTCATATTGACAATTCTCTTTCAAACATTGGTCAATATGATTCACTGCTGATTAATGTGAGCGTTATTAAATTCATAAATAGTATCAAAAATAAGGAAGATCTAAATTCGGGTAGAATTGCATATTATAAACTTTCCGAATTCGCAAAGCTTAAATCCGGAAACTATTTTCAAACTTGATTTTAAAATCTTATAATAATATTAATAATTGGTGTATACAAATCATATTCGCTTGATTTTTTTACAAGATCATAGATGTTGGCCGATGTAAGTATATGGTAGTAGTAGTCGTTATACAGTTTAATATCATGGCGGAAAATTTTGAAATCGATCTTCTAATATCAAATCCTACTGAATTAAAAAAAAAAACACATTATTAATCGTAGACGTGCGGGTGACTGTACTTCGGAGCGTGGTATTCAGTCGCACCAACTGGATTTGGTAGAGGGCGTTCTTAGCTAATGAACGAGCGGCTCCGATCACCTGGAGAGTCTGTACAAACATTTTCGCGCGATGTGGTACTGTGAGTGGTGCAAGATGGTCACAAAAAGGCTCACTGACGACCCGAAATTTCGTCGAGTGGAATTGTACCACGAAAATTTGGACTTCATGCATGTCCAAATGACCCCAATTTTTGAATAACTTAAGCACAGGTGAGGAGTCATGGAGTCACAAAGAGGCAATCGCCGGGGACTCCTGGTCGAAAAAAGGGAAGAATGAGCAAATCCAAAGTGAAAACATTATCATTATCTTTTTAACATCAAAGGCATTTTTTTAAAACGACCTGTACTTTATTGCAATGTATAACACTGTAGTCAGTTCGTATATTATATAGAAAAAATTCACAAAAACACGATGTGGGCCAAGTTTTGAAAATCTTTCGACAACTTCTTCTGCAGTGACTTCACCAGGTCGATCAATCTATCTTGAAACATGTTCGTCCTCAGTTAAGTTTCCATTAAGTGTCGAAAAAAAGCGTTCCGAGCTCGCATGCGTAATAGGAAGTGTGCAGAATATGCGAAGAAAACCCTCTCATTATATAGTTCTATATACATCGCAGTTCTTCAACGTTTACAATGCAGTAGTCGATAACTTTTTGTCTTTTGACTTTTGCCTTTGCCCCCAATGGCACTACTAGTGATCAAAATCACCTTTGAGCTTCAAACGGCCAATAAGATTTTCCATTACTATAGTTTTCAAAGCACATACTTTTTCTGGAAGCAGCAAACTCAGTTTAAATCCATTAAATACTTCTCTAGAAAAGCGGGTATTCAAATATTCGCCGACTGTTTGCAACAGAGGAATGTACTCTGAAATCATGTAGTATTCTTCGCAAGATCCAGAAATTCTGTTTGTCGACCGCAGAATCATGATTTTTCTTTGTCAACTTTCAGATCCACCGCCATTTTGTTCGTGTCTGAATAAAGGAATCGAAGGTGTTCCTTAGCTTTTTGTCTTCGATTTCGGAAGGATACAAGCAGCGATCTATCATATACGATACCTATTATATTGGAAAAGTTGGAGAATAAAACGCTTAGAATACATATGTATATCAATCGAACAGATCACAGATGGAGCTGAATGCGGTCACTGCAGGAGGTCAACCAAAATGTCTAAAATCGCTATATTACTATATTGAGATTGAGAGAAGGTCTGAATTGACTTTAAGTCTTTGTCATTAAAATACTTGAGAACATGTTTCTACGAAAGTTTATTGAGAGAACTCACACATTGGTCTATATATAGGACCGAGAGAAATTCATAGACTGATTTCACATATTTTCAATACCAAACTACAGTATAATCAGTAGCATCTAAGAAAATAAAAAAATTATAAATAATAAATTCTATTCGTCTCAAAAATTAGTAAACAAGAATATTGCGAGAGTTTATGAAAACTCTCTAAAGGTAGTATTTGGCAAAGAAAAGAGTGCTATTTCAACCGGCTCAGCGCTGAATCGCTACAAAGACTCAAAAGCTTTGCTATTGCACAAATTGAAATATGATAACTCGTAATTAGCTGATAACCTTTATACTTTAGTGCCCTTACTATATATATTTCTGTATATTTCTTATTATTTGAATATGAAACACCTATACACACATATTTCCATCTTGTCTTGTTTATGATTAGGTTTGTAATGGATTCGGAGAAAGTTCAAAATGGAAGTTCAAACAAATTATTCGTAAAAGCCTTGATTTGTCAATATCAATAATCTACACAACAACTTCTTGATTTACTTCAATAATAAAATACACAAAATTGTAGTTATCGTACAAATAGCATACAAGTATTTTTAAATATTTCTAAATTTTTTCGTCGTCTAATGTTTTCAACACCTTTGTACATAAAATATTATAATTTGATAGATTTGGATGCCATCATTCACCCTTTTTTCGCAAAAAAATTTTCCAACTTGTGAACTTAAAGTTTTTTATAAATTCTTTCAATGAAACTTCTGTCATACTACTACGTGATTGCGTAACATTTAACGTTTTACCATCAAATTGAAATTCGGAAATATAACGAAAATGTTCCATGCCATCAGCATCAAAGTAAACAAACAGCACATCATAAGATTTGTTACGAACGAGCTGCATGAAATTATTTGTACCGATAAAGAAGTCAGTATCACTATCGAAGCATTTTTTATCGCAAGGTATTCCGTTTAAGAGCTTTCGATATAGGTCATGTGACATACGCTTATGACCACGCCCTATTAACAATAAATGTTTGGCGTATCTGTTGTCTTCACAAAACAGTTTTCCGAATGATTCATTCTGACATTCATAAGGCTTTGCTGGCGGGATTTCTTGTGCACTGCAAACGAAAATGCATACATTTTCATAATTTTCTAAATACAAACGTTGAAGTACCTTTTCTGCACATCGTATAAGATATTGAATATACCTTCGCTAATCGCTTCTAGTTTCACCGAATAGTTATCCATAAATGATTCCGCTCCTTGAATTCTGCATGAAAGTGTATGTACTGGTGGATATTTGTAGGTATGTAAGCGCAAGGTTTAATGCATTTATACTTACTTAAACGAAGCGCCTTCAATTGCATCACAAATTTGCTTATTTGAAACGAAAAATGGAATTATCTATATATACATATACATAAATACTGGCAAAAGAGAAGATAGATTATCCAAGCTCATCTATACCTTTTGATTTTCTATGTGATTGATTTCCTTGGATGATAGTAGATATGTCATCACCGTAAAAGCTCGTTGCAATGATGTGGCTTGTGGCATTTTAATGAATTAATTTTGGTTTACTCGAATCTCACAACTTAAGTGATACTGTGCACTTCAACTTTATAATTCAACTAAAACATAGCACAATATTAAACATAGAACCGACGTATATGAACACTAGAGCGGGTTGATTTTCAGGGAGCTCAAACCAAAAAAATTGGAAAATCGCGTATGCGGGAAATTTTCGTTGGATCATCCTGAACAACTATAAGAGACTATGAATCTAAAACCGGTTTCGAAGCAGCGATTTTTAAAGCGAAGTTTTTTAGCTGTCATTGCAATTTTTTTGTCAGTTTTTGAGATATCGGAACATATTATACTTTTGTAGCTTGCAGGAAGGAAAGCCGCCTTCAGGTGATGCCAAAACTTTATATTGAAACAAGTAAGGAAGGGCAAATTTCAGGCATAACCGAACATTTCATACTCTTTCAACTTGGAAATTTTAAAAAATATGCAATCTGGGCCAAGTTTTCAACCCATTTTATTCAATCTAAGCAGATATATGAATATGCACCGTCATGCGAAAGTTATAAACGCGGTATAAAGTCACCCGGAAGTTCGATAACCTTTATATAAGGTATATGGGGGCTAAAGGAAGTATTGACCCGATTCAACCCATTTTTAACAAAAAGGCTTACTATCATCAGGAAAGGATTCACTTTAAATTTCAATTATATATCTCAGACATTGACCGATATATTCGGTAAGAAAAAGTTTGCTTCGATTTGGATGAGTTTGTGTCATGTGGAGACATGCTTCAAAGGCATAAAATGAATTTATCTCATTATATTAATTTATTCTTAATTTTTATGCTTAAAATTCAAAGAATGAATGTAGCGTTGTATGGTTGTAGCGTGATTTCGCTTTTCTACGATCTAATCCTCACTATTTTGAAAAAATATAGTACATGTACTTGCACAGGGAACAGACGGACAGATAAATAGTGATCAGGATTTAAACTCGTCTCATCATCCTGATCACTTAAATATACTTACAGGGTTATCTACCTATCTATTATTTTGGGATGATACAAACCACCGTTATCAAAATCATAAAAATCGACCCGCCTTGATGTATATACCAAGATATTGCTGATTACTCAGAAAAAGATCAACTTCAACATGTAAGGTGCAAAGGTCATGCCATACAGAGAAGCGATGAATGAGACTGTATATTTATAAACTGGGGCTAGGGAAAGCTTTCTGCAATTATTCTCGGCATTTGCATGTATACTCCATAAAAATACGATGAAATCTCTATTAAATGGACGCTCTATTAAGCGTGCATCTCCGTTAACTGTACACATTGGACAATCTACTAAGCGGACAACTCAGAATCCCACAAAATATAATACAGTTGAACTTCAATAACTCAAACTTCTATAACTCGAAGTTCGTCATATGTGGCCTGGTCTACGAAAAGGGAGCTAACGTGCGAAAACTAGTTTACTGGGAAACAGCTGTTAAAAATCTCATCTTCCATCCGAATCAACTAAAAAGTGAAAATTTATTTTTTGGATTTTTTGACACCTAAGGGGCTTAGGTTCTTTCCGTAGACCAGGGCACATATATGGAAATCTTGAATTTACACTAGAAGCCAAATTTGATATAAATTTCCTGCCATAACTCGAAGCCTCTCTTGCTCAAAGTTTTTTTTTTTTTGTGGATTACGATCAAATACGATCCCTTACCTTCTTATAGCAACAAAAACCTTTTCGCCTTTATTCATAAAGAAAATGTTCACTGTATTGAATAGTTTATTATTTGAATAATAGTCTAAAATGTATAGCACAGCATCGCGTGGTCAGGTCCATTAGTATAAATATAATACACAAAGGCTTGTTTTGGAACTATGTCGTTTTATACAATTGAAAATGGTGTTATCTTACTTTAAAGAGTGGCACATCATGTAATGATGTTTTTCGTAAATAAATCGTGACTTCATTACTTGGATTCAAATACAATCTCAATTTCTTATTGACCGCTTCAGCGTGAGCCAATAAGCCCATAGGCTTATCAGCGCGATTGGTTGTATGCTCTCCCAGTTGTTTTACCTTGTTATTGGCATCAAAAGCCACAGTTTGGTAATGATCATACCATGGCTTATTCCTTCCATCGCTCTCCACTATAAGCAATTCATACATTTGGCTATCGGTAATTGCACGCAATTTATAAAAACCAATGAAATATTCGCCATTAATTTCGCCCATACCATTTTCTAATGAATCAGCTGCTGGATTATTACGAAATAGGGCGTTAGTGACTTTGCGATGAGTGATCAAAAACCAATTGTCACCATATTGATTGTTTACGCACAACACAGAGAAAGGAATCGGTGATTGCGGCAAGTTTACATGGAATTCGCCGACTTGTCCTTTAGAACAATCGACCGGATTGGGGGTGCTAAGTAGTATAAGAGGGACAAATTTGAATAGATATTATATGTATATATATATTTACTTAATATGAATACCTCAATCTTGTTTTGACAGCTTGTAGATCGCTAGCAATACTTTCCAGTCTTTTGTTCGCTTTCATTTGGTAGTCTAGCGCCGCATTAAGGCTACATAGAGAAATAGCATTTACAAAAAAAATTTATTACTTTTATGCATACACATAATGAATATGATAATTTTATTCAATACATACTCATAACCCAAGTTCTCCATTTCTTGAACGTTGCAGTTTTGCCACGCATTCTATTACCAGAAAGAAAATAATTACATTTTTTTTTTTTGGTTCATATAAAATAGGTATATACGCACATCATCTCCGCCTATACGCATTAATGACGAGACGTTAACATCTTTCGAATTCAACTGTATATGGTTTTCTGGAGTAGTGAACAAAAAACTCAACACCATCAGGACTTTATCGATTGCAATAGGCTCCATATTTAAATTTTTATTTGTTTATAAGCGACAATAAAAATAAAAATTCTTTTAAACACACCGACAGTACGAATCTGACTGAGACGTATGAACAGATTATACATACTGATAGACTCGCTAAACGCGAGAGACACAAACACATACCCAATAGGAATGTACTATAATTACTAATTAAACAAAATTAAAAAAAATAGGCATTTTAATAAAAAATAGGTGTTGCATATGTTTATATTCTAGTAATTAGCCGTGCCGTAAGGTGATGCGTTATCACGGTGGAATAGCACTTTTCTCTGATGGGTGATGACACGCGCCCACGTTGAAACTCTTTTAACCAACTTTTGAGCGTCACCATCGAAGAAGATGAGATTGATTGATGATGATGATTGATTTTTGATTTGATTTTTCTTTCAAAATACTCTCGAATCAAAACACAGAATCGAGAAGTACTGTGGTGATTTTATTAATTTTTGGCAACAGACAACAATATTATCTGGAAAGGATGTCCATTTAATTTCAGTAAGAGATCATACAGATTGATCGATGTTTTCGATTTTATTAAGTTAGACATAAGCGGGAAGGTCTTTATTCGGTATAAGCAGACTAAACTCCCATTTACAATTGTGGGTGAAACCAAGCTGATGATCAAGGACACTTGAAGGACATCATTACTAGAGACGAGACTTTAGTTTACGCACACGACCTTGGAAGCACCTAACAATCCAGCGAATATTGTGCAACAAGTTACCGAAAACACCTCGGGAAAGTGGTGCACTTTGAATTACCTCCATACTGTCGAATATGAGGGAAAAACTCTTGGTTCCTTCATTATAATAATGCATCATATTATACTGTATAGTTTCTTGGCCCTGTTTTGCCAAAAACTGGATTCCGTACCTACGTCTGATTTGGTTTCACGAAATCTTGAAGACTTTACCGGAGAAAGACTAATCTGACTGTTTGCAGAACTGGAAACAGAGTTTACAAACGTGCATTTCGTCTATCATAATGTTTCTGCTTTACTCGCGGGTGACAAAATTGGAGAATATAAAGGTTTCTTCAAGGTATCCAAAGCCCTTAATAAGCCATTTGCCTTAGGTTATTGATTTAGCTTACAACGCGCTCGTTCGACACTTTTGGGTTTATTGTACTCAGTGCTTATACGGCCTAAAAAACAAACCTTTTGAATATTAGATTATTAAGGCATTTTTACATAGATTTTATGCTATAAGAAGTCGAATTATTGTTATCACAGTGTCCTCATATATTTATCTTTATACCCAATATTCATACAAAGCCGTATTCAATTTTCTCTTTTGTGTTGAACTATATGTATAACGTATGATAACTTTATTACCTGACTGCATCCTTTAAAATTTTCACCCCAAACTTATGGTTTAATATCACTTAAATTTATTGTTATCGCTAAGTGTTGTCTTTCTTGTACTTGGCAAAATGAAATCTTCAACCTTTTGTTTTTTCTTTCTAGCGTCTGATGGTTCAACATGCTCATAACGCCAACACCTCGCAGGTACTGTACGAGTATATACATACGTAACAGAGTAGAGATATAAAAAATGATATTAAAACACTTATATGAGTTTAATATCGAGTTAATAATAACCTGATGCGCAGTGTATGCCACTTTACCAGCCCGCACGTGGTACATGCATATGAATTTTCGTGCATTCGTGGATATTCAGGCGTCAGGTGCCATCTGCTGGCATTTACGCTCAAATTAGAAGCAAGGATGAGTGTGAAATATTCTTCATAATAGTGGCTTTAAAATTTAGAAGGCATGCGTATTTCAAAATTTGAGTAGGGTCCTTATTGGTCCATAATACGCTTTTCAAGTGGTGTCAAAACTTTGTCAGTTGTTAATAAATTGTAGCTTTTTGTGAAGATGGTAGGGGCGTGATTACATCAACTTTCAATATCGAAGTAATTGGAGATAATCTTATATAACTATTTCAATTGTTTTGTGGTTTTATAAGCAATCATAACATTTTGTATAAAACCCTGAAAAATATAGAACGTTAGTGTGAATCATGAACTCGGCGCTGTCGCAGCAAGAGCTGGCGTAAGGGTAAAAAAATAATTTTTTTCAAAAACTTTTTGCTCATTTGAAAAATTAAGTATTTTTATAGAGTTGTTTATTGTTTCAAACCCACACGACTAACAAAA